ACCCATCCTGAAAATAACAAGAACACCAGATACACATACAGGCACACTTCGTTTTATTGTGCTTCACTTTATTGCGCTTCATAGATGTTGCTTTTTTTTTTTACAAATTGAAGGCAAGACCCTCCACCAGTAAAAAGATTACCACTCACTTTATTGTGATACTTGCTTTATTGCGGTGGTCTGGAATGGAACCCACAATATCTCTAAGGTATGCCTGAACATACATTAGTTCATTCATTCCCTCACCAAATAGTTATTTGAGTCTACAGTGTGCCAGGCCTTGGGAATAGGCAGAAGGCGCTATGCTCTGAGCCCAACACAGGTGAGACTGGCAGACAGCACAGTATTATGTGGGCCCCAGAGCCAGACTAGCTGGGTTCAAATCCTAGCTCTATCACTCTTGAGCTCTGTGAACTTGATTAAGCTCTCTGCCTCAGTTCCCCAACTGTAAAATGAAGAAAATCAAAGTATCGATATTGCAGGGCTGTTATGAGGCTCAAATGAGCCAATATATGTAAACAGTACCTACACACAGTAAATGCATACCTGTGTGTTTCTAGAATCATAGCCCCTCAGAGTCACAGAGCCCTGGATGTCACAAAAGCTTAACTCCCACCCAAAACAGTGTCCTCAGCACAGGGGACCCCTGTAGCCACAGGAAGCAGCTCGTTCCTGTTTGTTTTTCCACTCTCTGAGCTGAAACTGTGTAGGTTTGCAGACTCCCAAGATAGCCCAGGTCTAGCCCAACTCTACCCCATCTGTAAAAAGTCACAGGGCGAAACAAGGATGGTGGAACTGGAGTAAATCCCAGTACAGCATTTGCTCTTCCACAAGTTTCCCAAGTTTTAACAACAATATCCTCCAATTGAACTAACATCTTCATTGATAAATGCCCTATGGCTCCCAATGGCACTTATACTCATCATCTCATGAAACTTCATGGTGATCCTAGGGATCTGGCAGTAAATACAGAACAGATGAGGAAACTAAAGCTCAGAAAAGTTTCGCCACTGTCCCACAGTCTGGCCTCTCAATCAAGTGCTCTTTTCACCACCCCAAGCTCCATCTTGGGCCTTTTCTCCTTCAGGCTGAGCACTTGAGATCTGTCACCCTTCTCCATCATGGCTGTGATTCAGTTTGTCATTGTCCCTCTTTAAAGTTGTATCATCTTTTTGCTGATGGGCAACGGAGGCACTGTAAGGGACAGTGATGTGGCCAGGGCTGCACCAGGAGTTGGGTTTCCTTGCCCCAGTGCTCCTGGGGTACGCAGCTGACTCTCAGACTATCTCAGCCAACGACAGCAGAACGATTCACCAGAGGATGACATGAGCTTGCTGCTGGGCTCAAGGATTGGAAAGACAAAGCCCTTTCCTAACTATTTTCCCTACGGGAGGATCACCTTTCCAGTCCCCTGCTTTGAGAATACACCCAAACAGATCACAACCTACCCAGGTCTTAAGGAAAGGCCCTGGGAAGTAACACTTCACAACTTCCTTTCAAAATCTGGGTCTGGACTAAATCTCAAAACTGTACGCTATCACCAAAAAAGAGAAGCTAAAAGAATCTTCCAGTCCAAATGATCTTAAATACACAATGAACCTCTTGGTAAGGGACTCACTGGCCCTCCAGGCAAAGGGCAGCATGACAAAGGCACAGAGGCAGGAGACAGCAGGCAGGGTTGAGAGCTACCAGGTATAGACCAGCATGGCTTGAGCACCAAGTATGAGCTCGGAAGGTAGGAGATGGAGCCAGTGTAAGGCAGGTGAGCCTCCTTTTCCACTCTATCTGCTAAGTGAGGCACCATGTAGGGGCTGTCAACAAGGAGGACAGTGTATCATGGCCCAACTGGGATTTCAGGCAGATTTCTCTGGGGGCTGTGTGGATGGCACACTGCATTGTCAAGGCCGAACAAGCCATGGTCTTCAGGTCAAAGAGGTCAACGATGGTTAACAATGGCTTTGACCCTGAGTGGCTGACACCACAGAGAAGTCTCATGTGTCCTGTTCCAGCACAGAGATGCTCCTTTGGGTCTTGTGCTGCCCTGCCAGGGGCTGCTTGGAAATTGGGAGACACAGAGTACTAGGAAGCCAAGAAACAGAACTTATTAGATTAGCAGAAAGCCAGCGCACAGGCCAATGTAACCAGGCACAGCCCTAACAGCCAACTAACAGTTGTGTGTCTGAGCTCATAGGTAGCATGCACAGGATGACCTCTCAGAGATGCACAGACGGCACAGGCGAGCCGCCCCCTCCCCAAGCTAGGGGGAACATGACTGGCAGTAGAAAGCAAGGCCAGCCGGCATTTTAAGTGGAGGGTTGGGTGATGTTTGTACTCAAATACAGGCCACTTACAGTGAACAAGGGTCCTCTTCGGTGAGATCTGCTAGGTATACATTTGCGAAGTGGATGAACAGCATTCCTATGGCTTGTTTTGAAGTGTCTAAAAACCTGTACAGAACAGGAATCAGCACTTGTTATCACTCTGACAAGAGGGTAATATCCAATTTGGGGAAAATGCTAAGTCTGAAGTAGGAAAAAAGCCACTGGGAGGCCCCAAGTTCTAATTATGAGTCACCTCTCCCCCAGTGCATCAGTACTAATTCAGGGTTGGTGTTTCAGCTACCTTTCAAAACCTTCAATAACAGTGCACGGAAATTCCTAATGGGCCACTGATGAACACATATTTAAACACATTAACCACATATTTAAAATAGGTGTTTTTATTTTTTCATTTTTTGTTACTTCAAAATGAAATGCTCGAGGGCCAGCCGATGGCTCGTTGGTTATGAATTGGCTTGGGACGCCAGCTCTGAGCAGCTGGGCCGCCAGTTTGGAATCCACATGAGGGCCAGTGATGCTGCGCCCTCTACAGCTAAGATGGTGAACAACAGCTCGACCTGGAGCTGGGCTGCCATGAGTCGCCGGTGATGGTGAGGCGCAGAGGGCTCCCGTGAGCTACTGTGAATGGCCGGCAGCCAGTGTGAGCGGCTGGCAGGCATGAGCTGCTGTGAGCCACCATGAATGGCCATCTAATGGCCAGCGATCGATCTGCCTCACCCGGGAGGAGCACAATGATAATACCAACATGGGCCAGTGAAGCAACGTCCTCCACAACTAGACTGAAGAACAAAAGGACAGCAACTTGTCTGTTCCCCTCCCCCGATTCCCCAATAAAATCTTAAAAAAAAACAAAAGTGAAATGCTTGATCACAGCTTTGTGATGAAGTCCAAGTTGCCTCCTCTCTTTCACGGAGCTCCTGTTCGACCTCACTCACAGGGAGCGAAATGATTGCGACTAACAAGACATGCACAAAGCTAGTACTGCAGCTGAAACCCTAAACAACTTTCTGCTGCTGCCATTTAAACAATGGGCTAGATTGGGGGAGGGACAATCTTTTTCTGTAAAGGGTCAGAGAATAAGTATTTTAGGCTCTGCGGGCCATCGTTCTCCGCAGCAATTACACACTTACCACTGCAGCCTAAAAGCAGCCGTAAGCACTCCCGTTCCTGTAATTCTGTATTTATGAAAACAGACAGTAGGCCAGACTGGGCCTGCGGGCTATAGTTTGCCAACCCCTGGACTACATGACAAGAGTTTCAAAAGAGAAAAAAACAAACTTGTTGGTCTTTGGGACACCCTGTGTCTTCCCTCCCCCCTAGTCCACATGGCAAGAGCAAGGTGGAGATGATGTGGGGCCTTTAATTTCTTCTCTGCCATGAACACCTGAAGACCACTCGTGGTTTGTGACTGGGGAACCTTTGGATTGAGGCCATCTCTCTTGGCCCTCCAGGTTGGGCATCCAGAATTGGCCGGGCCACTGAAGGGGGGTGATAAAGGGGCACACAGGCATGGGACATCAGCCATGGGATCTCAGGACTGGAACAGACCTTAGAGATGATCCAGGCCAACCCTGCGACCGAGGCTTGAAAATCAGTTCCTGAAATTATGGCAAAGTAGGAGTCACCAAAGGGCAATGTGTGTAAAACACAGTGCCCCAACTCTAGGTCCTCCCGAGGTACCCCCAGCCCAAGCTAGATACTCAGATTTGAGAGAAACCAACTGGGGTAAAATAAAAATAATTATCAACATCCTGAAATAATGCACTGAAGATCAATCAAGTATGTACCGAGCCTTTTATGAAGAAGCCTTTACCACAGTGATTTATTGGAAGTTTTCTCTGAAGGAGAAAAATGGCTATTTTGTGAGGATAAGTGGCAGCCTAAGACAGCCCAAGAGAGATGATTTCTTGTGGACATCTTGTCCTGAAGAGCTGGCTGTCTTCTTCCAAGTGATTAATTTTTCTAAGTTTTGTCTATAGAAGCTGTGTCTGAAGCTTTACCACCATTTTTTTATGAAGGAAAAACTGTCACTACAGGGTCATCCTAGGACCAAGAAAGGCTAGTTTTAGGGAGAGGAACATTTACATGGTATATGTGACAAATCTCCAAATTTAGATTATTTTTTTGCTTATGCATACAGACTATAGAATCCAAGGATTTAACATAATCGAACAACAGAGAGACATAACTGAAGGAGCCTGTGGCATAGACTGATATCTGTATTATCGTCCCTCTTCTAAAACTGGACAGCAGCGTGTGACAGAATCAAGGTAGGGCCTAACGTTATCAGGAGTAATAGAAGTGCTTTCATATTATACATAGTTCCTGATGACTAATTCAACTAAGGGAGTCCAACACTTTGTTATGTATAATTGTTCACATTCCCTCCCCCACCCCCACCCCCAAAAAAACCCAAAAACCTGAAAATGGTCAAAAGCATTCCAGGAATGAGCTAATATTTAAATTTAAATTTAAATACCTACCATATCCTCCATGGACGTCTTTCATGCTTTGGTTCTCTGAAGCGTTTGACTGAAAGAAAAGACAAACATTCAGTAGCGTTCCACAGCAATAACAAAGCAAAATGCATATAACAAGTTGGGTTATCAGTACACTCAGTGTTTACAATGCCAAGTTATGGTACTTGCTCTTTTAATATATGACAATGTACAATGAGCCGTGAAGGTCACAGAAGCCCGGTATTGCTGCCAACCAGTACAGATTCTTCAGAACTGGACACTAGGAAAAATGTCTCCTCACACTCAGGAAAATTGTATTTTCTTCTTCTTTGTGACAAGGCTCTCTCAGATAAGGAGTGGAAACCACCAAGTGGAATGTAGCTACTTCTAACTTCAGGGTATGTTCTACCCAACGACAAATCCATCCATCCTCCCATACACCCAAAGTTTCACTGAGTACCTGCTCCAAACTAGGCACTGAAGAGACAAAGGCAGTTGTCAGGCAGGAGGGCAGACACATAACCATATGTGTGGCAAGTGCTAGAGAAGAGGTAAGTCTGAGGTGAAATGAAGGGTCGAGGGAAGGATGACTAGCCCTGCCTGCTTGGAGGAAGGGTGCTAGTCAGGAGAGGTGGCCAAGCCAGGACCAGAAGGCTGGGTAGGGGTTTGCAAATGGGTAAGGGATGGGAGAGAGGTCCATTCTAGGCAGAATACACACCATGAATTCATAGGTACAGGGACATAACGTAGCAGAGTGTGTTTGGCATAAATTTGGATTTGATATAGCAGGTAACAAGGCAAACAAACTGGGCAGGGGCCACATGAGGGACGGTCTTGAATGCCAAGCTAAAAAGTCTAGACTGAATCCTGTAGGGAAGGAAAAGCTAGAAAAGATGCTAAGCAGAGTCAAACACATGGTGGGAACTGTGTTTTAAAAAGCAGCTCTGAATCAGGTAGAGGGTGGATTTCTGGGGGTAGAGAGGACTAAGGAAGGACACTGGCTGTGTCACAGCACCAGGCAGTGGTACTCCCAGCTACAGAACAGTCAGCAGGGGTGGAGTGCTCATTCAGCAACAGCCTGGCTGACCTCAGATGGCCAAGGACTCCCCAGATTGACACCTTCACCTCGGGTCTACAGACACAACCATTTGAACAGAAGTAAAGAGAACGATTCTAAAAGTCCAGTCCTCCACTGAAGCTCCAGGCAGACTATTTCCACAAGGATTCCATCTACTAAAACAAACACGCAAAGTGCTGCATGTGTGATGTTTCCCACACAAAACTACTGAGGAAGAAACAGACACGGCTGCAAGCCCACGGAGGATGCCGCTCTACCACTGGGAGCAGGCAAGAGCCAACTTCCAGCAGAGCCCTGATCTGCCAAAGGAGGTGAAGGAGGAGGAGAAGGGAGATGGGGAGGGAGAAAACGGTGTCCAAATCAATACATCCTTCTCTAAATGAACACAGGCAGTCCACCGTTTGCAAAGCAAAGGCTGTCTGTATACAGAAACAAAGTATGGTGTTTAGAGAGACAGAAACCAATGCCTGTCAATATGGGATTGGGTAGATACAATGCATCATGGTACAATGCAACATTAGGCCGTTACTACAAACAAGGTAGGTCTGTATGGATTAATATGGAAAGACTTCCAAATTGTATTAATTACAAAATAATATGTCCATAATTCTGTTCATATCCATTTTAAAGGAGATATATATATATTTATTTATTTATATTTANATGTGGGAATCGAACCAGCAACCCTGTTGTTCAGAGCTCGTGCTCTTAACAACTGAGCCACTCAGCCAGCCCCTATTTTAATAAAAACAATACAGCGTGAGCTGTTCTACCTCCCCAGGATCATCTGCTGTGGAGGCCAGTGAGCTAAGGTGGGCCTCGGCAAGCTTACCATTTACTCAGCACCAGGCTAAGAACCTTATCTTTCTAATTCTCATAATTACCTATTAAGATAGATAATCACCTCCCTCATTTTGAGGACAGGAAATAATCTCAGAGGAATAAAGCCACCTGGGATGAAGCCACACAACACTGGGAAAATGTGGCATGGTGGTCATGAGAGGCTATGGCTCAAATTCAGGCAGTTTGATACCAGAGCCCATGCACTTGACCACTGGGTATACCAGCATTGTTCCCTGGTCTGGGAACCCTACAGTCCCAGGTATAGCTCCTCTGTTCCATGGTCCAGGAGTCCTCCCTTTGGATGACAAGCGGTCATCTGCCAAGTTGGGTTGGAAACCAAAGGTCCTTATGACTTTGATTGAATATAGTTTTAAATCCTAGCTCTAGAAAGCATATCCTCTTTCTCTCTCTATCTCCATACACACACCTCTCAGAGACCTAGCCTTTCCCCCAGATAATCAGCCCCCCCTCATTCCCTCCCCTCCCTTCCCCAGCAGAAGCCCACCTGACTAATTGTCACAAGGTCCAGACCTCTGGCAGCTAAAGATAACATCTTGACCTAAGTTCTGTTTCAGTTCCTCAACCCTAAGGTGGAACAACCCCCTGGCTATTTTTCTCATGAGACTGGACAGAACTCTGGAAAAGACCTCAGAACTGTCAAGATCTAAAGAAATGATTCATGACCCTTAACTCACCTCTAATCAATCAGCTCTCAACACGACCCACAGTGTCTTGTGATTTTGCCCTATATAACCTGCAACCTACATACCACCGGGGAGCCTGGTCTTTGAGTGCTAGCTCACCTGTGTCTCCAGGCTTGGCTCAATTTCCTTAAATAAACCTCTACTTTCTTTGCTTCAAACTCCTGTTCACGTCTCCACTAGCTTTGATGTGTGCAGGCAAAACGAATTCTTTAAGTTCAGTAATAGCTTGAGAGCCTCCCTAAATGCACGTTTGTACTGAAAGCACCAGTCAGAAACATTTCCACTGTTTTTCCAAGAGCACATACCCAAAACCAAGAGAAACTGGCTTGTTACAACACTACATAAAGAGGTAAAAAGTTGGGGTTCCCTAGTGTTTCAGAAGGCCTTGTTTAACCTTCTCAGCAGACAAGAGCTAATGTGGCATTGTACCTTCAGAGGGAGCTGATGGGACTGCCAACGGCATGGTGGATGGCCAGTCTTCAGAGTACCATACATTTATCCAGCAGGACACGCTTCCTCTGGGAATTCACTGGGGCTTCACCTATGAATTTTATTGACGGAAGTGAATTTATAAGCACCCTTAGCAGAAAAATTAATAGAAGACTATCTCTTCTCTTGATACTAGAGTTATATGACATTTAAGACCTTTCCCCTAGCTTCTTAGTCTAGTGAAGTTGGCACCCAGTGTCTTCTCCTTTCAAACAATACAAGCTGTGTAACCAACCAGAATCTGAGCAGAAGAGAAGCAAGAGAGTTCCTTTCCTCAGTCCCAAAGCCTGGGAATCACATGGCAGGACAGCAAAGGAAGCCTTAACTTTACAGTAATAACCTGACCCCAAGGACGCTGGAGACCATAAATGAAGAAATCATCAGCCCCCATGAGATAAAATATCTGAGGTCCCCCATGGCCGGTAATGGGAATCCCATCCAGGAGGTCTGATGGGTACTTCAGGCACCTTAGGGTTCTTCTTACATCTACTTTCACCTCTTCTTCACTTAGAAACAGGGGGATTGGGTGAGAGGAAGACGTGATAAATGAGAAATGTGACCACCAGTACAGGTGAGAGACACTGTAAATAAACCATGACCCTTAGGGATGGGAGCACGAGGCTGTCCTAGAAAAGGTGGTCTGAGTCAAATTAGGATTCCTGGACTCCCAGTGCTCACTTAGTTCATCTATCTGCTGGGCTCCCTCCGATTTTCCTTCTGTGAAGGCACTGGGAAAACCACCACCATGTGGCATGGTGGTTATGAGAAGCTCTATCAAGTTTTTCTGCATCCCTTGTCCTATTATGCAGAATGTAGAGCGAGCGGCCTCGGGGACGAAGGCTAGGCAGACAGCTTGGTTGAAGAGCAAGTTGAAAAGGTCTGCCACCATCTCNCCTGCCTTACATTTACAGTGGCGAGGCCTGAAGACTAACATCAGACAGAAAGCAACACGAGGGCAGGGACTGTGTTTTCACTGGCTTTATATATTCCATTGGCTTAATCTAGACATTAAGAGCAGACATATGTGTAAATGAAGTGAATGGATGCTACGTAAAAAACTGACTAGTTACTGTTCTTGACAGGTAGCCAATAGCTGCCATATCAGACCAAATCCAGGGTGTATTCATGGGGTTAAAATAAAAAAAAGAAACAACAGACTTGGTTTTCCAATAGGTTGGGGCAGAGAGGCGGTATGGGGAGGAAGTACTGTCTTGCTTAGCATCTCAAGGAGCTGCCCAAGAAGAGACAAGAGACAAACCTTTTTCCACTGAAGTATTAGGAGGACGATGAAGACAACAGATTTTTCAAAAATCATGATCACTATGTAAAGAGCGCACTGCCCGACCCAGGCTCCGCACTGCAGAGGGTCTCCTGCAGGGAGAGGGGACGCTTCGTCACATGCAACCCAGACACAGGATTGGAGCTGGGCAATGCCCTGCCCCCTCCCCACAGCTCCCGGGAGCCCTCACACCCCCACCCCACACCCCTGACGCTAGAGCTGTTTAATGAGTCCCCAGAGCACTAAAAATCGACTCAGACCAACATACAAATGTGGGTGATTTAAACAAAATCAGGGATTTCCTAATTTGGAGATACCAGAGTAGCTTTTCTTTCAAGAGATTCTAAGATATAATTAAAAAGCACCAAAGTTAGTAAGTGCCCATTGCTGGAGGTTAGAAGAGCTAGTTCTTTTCGTCCGCTGGCAGCAGAAGCTGTGTTAAGCAAGACTGCTATTATTATCCACTGTTGATTTTTCCATTGACTGTGGTGCTATCCGCTCTCCCCTCCCCACAATGTTTTTGAATTATGAAGGCAGCAAACGACCTCCCTGTTCATCTTTCACTCCCCACCCCGACTCCTCCACTGTTCCGGTTGCCCTTAGCCCTGAAAGGAGAAATCTGACTCTGGAGGAACTCAGGGTCTGCCTGGGAAGGGGCACCCCAAAATATTTTGGGCTGG